CCTCCTGTATGGATTGAGGCTCAATATCAGGAAAACAAAGATTCTCACCACTGGGCCAATTGGCAGCATCAGTATGGATGGTGAAGAGATAGAGATAGTTAACAGTTTTAGTTTACTTGGTTCCACAGTCAACATTCTTGGTAACAGCAGTCAGGAAATCAGAAGACGAATTGCATTGGGAAAGTCAGCTGTGAGGGACCTCTCAAGAGTACTGAAGAGCAATGATGTCAGGCTGGAGACTAAGGTGCACCTAATCCAGGCTATAGTCTTCGCAATTACGTGCTATGCATCGGAGAGTTGGACAGTGAATAGGGATGACAGAAAGAATTGATGCCTTTGAGCTGTGGTGCTGGAGAAGAGTGTTGAATATACCATGGACTGCTGGGACAATAAACAGGTTTGTCCTGGAGAGGATGAGGCCAGAACGCTCCTTGGAGTCAAGGATTCTGAAGCTTAGTCTGATATACTTTGGGCATGTTGCAAGGAGGGACTGGTCCTTGGAGAGGGACATCATGTTTGGGAGAATGGAGGGATGGTGATGAGATGGATCAGTTCTGTGAGTGGAGTGTTGGGAATGAGTTTGTCTGAGATGGCGAGGTTGGCACAGGATAGTACTGCTTTAAGGGCTCTTGTACAAAGGGTCATTATGAGTCGCAAGCGACTTGATGGCACATAACAACAACAACAACAACAACCACCACCACCTCTGGGATTGCAGTGCAGCTTCTTGCCACTAGGCCACCAGTGCTCCCTACACCTTAGCATTTTTAATAGCTTCATATGCATAAGAAAATTGTGCAATGATTTTGAACTGTGGTGCTGGAAAAGAATACCGAATATCCCATTGACTGACAAAAGAACAAACATGCCTTGGAGGAACTGTAAATAGGTTGCTTCTAAAAGGAAAGGATGGCTAAACTTTGCCTCTTAATTTGGACATGTTGTCAAGAGTGGCCATACTTTGGAAAAAGACATAATGCTGAGAAAGGTAGGGGCTCTGTAAAAAAAGAAGAAGGCCTTCAACAAAATGGATTGACAGAGTGACTACAACAACGGGCTCAAAGAAGACAGAGTTGGTGAAGATGGTACAGGACAGAACAGGGTTCAGATCTATTGTCTCTAACATAGCTGTTCACTCAATAGCACCTAAGAACAATGTGTGTGTAGATTCTTGTGTATGTGAAGAAAATACAGTATGCATATATGTATCAATATACACAAAATGAATGTTTGAGTCCCTATAGTATGTTGTTGTTGCTGTTAGGTGCCATTGAGTCATAGACAAATCACAGCGACCCTAAGAACGAAAGACCTGAGCACTGCTCATTGGGTTTCCAGAGGCAAGGCATTTCAGAAGTGGATGCCACCCCTGCTTCCAAGCTTGTTATAATCGGGGAGCTCCACCAAACACTGTCCCCCATGGGTAACCATTATCGCATTTGACACCTTAGCCTCACAGTGTTTAGCATCACAGCAACCATGAGTTACCTCTGTACAGCAATGCACAGACCAGAGCTAGACCACCTAGAAGAATGTTTGACAAAAAATCAATTTGAACTTTTGGGGCTTTAAGCCACCACTTGCCTTAAACCCTAGGCCAAGTCTCAAGGACCTCGCTCCTGGGGGTTAGGGGTGGAGGGAAGAGCAGTACTACACATCAAACACAAGCTGCAAAGGCACAGGACCCCAAAAACTTGTGAATACTTGCGCACGCATGCGGACCACCATGCTGGGGCAGCAAGAAGTCCCCGAAACCCTGGGTGGAGTCATTCAGGAATGATATGGCTGCCTTCTCCCCTCTCCCTCTGGGGCTTTAACATGCGATTACTTACATGCACACATGGACCACTATGCTCAGGCAGCAAGAAGTCACCTTATAGTATACACTTAGTAAATTTCTATACACAATTTTGTGCTTTTAGTGTTTTTAAGCATGGTACACTTTTAGTTGTTCTGACTATTTAGTGAACTATTTATATTAACACAAGAAAAACTTACTAGGAATATGTGTTCTGGAGATGCTAGATTTTATTTATTATGATCATTAGTGTGTTGTTGTTACATGCCATCAAGTCAGTGCCAACTCATTTATTACTTACCCTCCAACAGTCTTTCAAAGTCAATAGATTGCACAAGAGATTGCTCATCATTCTGCTGTGGAGCAGCTGGTAGATTCAAACCATATTCCTCCGGATTGGCAACATAGCCTCTTACCCCCAGGCCACCAGAGCTCTGTTACTTTCTCACATTTCAAAACAAATAAATGCATACACACACAAATACACCCCATAATTCTGGGCTTTTTTCCACCACAATGAATATTAAGGCAAAATACCACACTAAAATATACAGTTCAAGCCTTTTTAAAAAAGTTTCGCACAAGTCACTAAACAGGAATAATCTAATATCTTCCTTTTTACATTTAGATATTACTGAAGTAATGATCTCATGCATACCCGAGATGATGAGGGTGGCATACGACAGGCAGACTTCAGTTCTTAGAGTGGCTATGAGTCATACTTGAGACAATGGCAACCAACAACAACAAAAACAGTCTATGTTATGAGAATTAGCTTTGCCTGTGTCTATCAGTGTCCCTCAGTAAATTACATCCTTGTCATATTAGTGATAATATGTCACGACTTATCATCATCAACTATTATAGAGTTGAATTTAAAAATCATGTGCTAAATGCAAGTACTTTCTAAAGGATTATAATTATAGAAGCAGGAAGAAAGAGAAACTTATTTCAATCAATAGACTTCTAGAGTTTTGTATTTTCTGTGGGCACTGGAGATACTTGCTCTTGAATTCTTGTTTTAGAATCCTCCAGAGAGAGCTACTGGGGTCCATGGCTGTTACCTGTATTGAACCATCTTAAGAGGGAGTTGACCTGAATGAAAACTAATAGCCTTAGTAGTTCCTGGAATAATACAATTTGTGCATAAATCCAGAGAAGGCGGAGAGTCTTAATAGGCTAAGTTGTTTTCAGTTGTATCAAACTCCTGTGTGGTTATATGAGAGTTCTTTTCATCTTTTTTTTTTTGTCTTTTTCATTTACTGAAAGATAATTTTACCTTTTTTATATTACTCTGATTTATTTACAAATTTTGAATACATTGTTCTTCACAAAACCTCTTATCTTTTTTTGTAATATTAAGTAATCTTCTCGCTCTCTCTCCCCCTCCCCCATTTTTCCTGACATTGTTTTCATATGAACCTCATACCCATGTACTATATATATATATAGTATTTTTCTATCATAGAACCACTGGTGGATTCAAACTACCAGAGAGGCATCATCTTTGGGTTAGCAGCAAGACTCCCTGTAGACTATGCCACAATAGCTATTTATAAGATGGACAGAACCAAACCCAACCAACCCATTGCCATCAAGTGCATGCCAACTTCTGGAGACCCTTTGTTCAGTTTCCTAAATTTTAAGTTTTAATGGAAACACTGCTTCCTTTTTCTCTCCTAAAATGAGCAGATTTGAACCACCACTCTCTGCTTAACAGTTCAAAACATTAACACTGCCAGGGGTCCATCATACATTTGGATTTCTGCAGAGGAAAGAAGCTGCTACTTTTGTTTCTCCCTCATAACTCAAACACATATAGTTGTTCTGTAGTCACTGGTTATTTCACAGTGCTGACATAGCAAATCTGTATTTTAATTATTATTTTAAATGTAAAACCAGTAAATTCAATCTGATAACTTCTTTATGTGAAATATAAATATAAGGACATTGTAGACTTAATTCTAGTACCAATGTTCTGAGTTACAGAAGAACCAAGAACCACCGGTAAAAATAATACTGTTACTGAAGTGTAAAGTTTTATCTAATTCATTTGCTTTCCTGAAGACTTTATTACCAGGTATTGAACCAGTAATACATCAATCAGTATTTACATTACCCTTATTTAGACTGAACAGATAGTATTTAGCTTGCTTCTCTTTTGACACAGTCATAGCATCTGGAAGTTATCAGTCCCTCTTCTGATAACTCAACACCAGTGACATTGTAACACTCATAAACCTTTGTTGTTGTTGTTATAATGTGCCCTTGAGTTGCCTGTGACTCATTGCAATCCTATGTACAACAGTCCTAAACCCTGCTCTATCCCTTGCCAATATCATTGTGTCTGACACACTCATCCCCATTACCCCAGTGACTAAATCAATCCATCTCATTGAGGGTCTTCCTCTTCTGTGCTGTCCCTCCACTCTCCCAAGCATGACACTCCTCTCCAAGGACTGATTTTGCCTTTCAACAAGTTCAAAGTATGAACTAATAAAATTAGGTATTTTAAACTAAGAATAAATGCAAAGCATTTTGTATTTTCTTGTTCTATTTTATGTAGAGCTGCACTGAAAACCTTCAATAACAGTTAAAAATTATCTTATTCAACTTTCACAATTAAAACAATTATCTTTTAAGGAAATCAGGCAAAAATTGAGCATCCAGTCTCTGCCTGAATTACCTCAATATTACTAGATAATTACGCAGTCCACTCTTAACAACTGCAGATACGCAAACATAGCATTTCACTGATTAGGTCTCCACAAATTAAGCAAAGGGATGCCTTGAAATAGGTGGATAATTTGAGCAAAGGACATGCAATTGTCTGAGTAGAAACATGAACTGTGAAAACAAACGAGAATTATAACCTGAATTAGCAATTACTTCCAGTCGGCACTTTGCTTCATTGCACATGGCCAGTTTTTAACCATTAGGTTTGTTGATTCTTTGGCATTAACCACTCTTACAGCACCATCATAATCATCCTATGCATTCTAACACAGCTCTATTCTATTAGTTCATATTGGCTCAAGTAATAATCAGATTTAAGGAAAATTATACCTTAAATTGAGTAGTGATAATGTAGAATTTTTCATGGTAACAATTCAAAAAATGAACTTGTTTTAGTAGTACAAAAAATGTCTCCTATTTCCCTTTTGTCCCTACATAGAAACTCATAGAAAGTGAAGTTACTTACACTGCACGATGAGCTGCACCAACGCTTCCCTGGGCTTCACATTAAATCCATTGTACTGGCTGGTCTGACATCGGTACATTCCTGACATTTCCCTAGATACATTCACAATCCTCAGGGTTCCATCATAACTCTCCATTTGCATTGATCCATCAGGCATTGCGACTTCTTTGTCAGCTCTAGACCAAAGGATGATCGGTTTAGGTTTTCCAGTTACTTGACATTGCAGTTCTATTGTGTCTCCTTCTCTGGTGACCAAAGGTGATTTTTCCTGCGGAACAGTCAGATTGGGTGGAACTTGAAATGGGAAAAAGAAAATTTTTCAAGGTTAGTATAAACTGGTAGAACGTATTCAAATACAGAAAATCATAAGGAAATACTTTCTGCTGGTTGGAGAAATGTGACAATTCAGATGACAAAAAACTATAGAGACTTATAAATAAATAGAATATACTTCTACCTAAAATAATTCTGAATTATTTTGATGGAACCCTCCCAAATGAGGGCTTTAAACATTAACAAAATAAATAAGGCATTAAATTAAAAATTGAATGATCAACATAAGAACCATCTACTCAATGCCTTGTCATTATCAGCCATGAAGAGGGACTTTTGACAGCTGCATTTCACAGTAGAATGATTCTGCTTGTTGAGAATGAGATCTGGTTTTCAGTTCTCTGCTTCCTGTGCCAAACTCTGATGATGTAGACCATCCATAGTGAGCTGTGCTGCTAACCCAAAAGTTATCTCTCTGGTTCTGTGAATCCACCAGCTGCTCCGTGGAAGATAGGTGGACAATCTTCTTCCACACAATTTGCAGCTTAGAGATACACTAAAGGGTTAGGTGTGAGTTGGTTCTGACAAAAGGCAATGAGTTGAGCTTCCCATGCTGTAATCTTTTACCTAAGGAATCCATAAGAAAGGGGTAGTACTAGATGGAAGAACCTCTGATACCAAATCATAAGTACTGGCTCTAGGTTGTTGGGGTTTTTTAAAATTTTATTATTTTGTGTGTGTGTGTGTGTGTGTGTGTGTGTACCGTCAAATTGGATCTGGAGGAGATTTCCACTCCTTCTCCAGCACAGCATCTGGTGGCTTCAAACTGTGTACCTCTGAGATTGCAGTACTGGCTCTAGTTTTAACAAACCATTGCCAATGACTAAACATTCAGTTTATCTTCCTAGTGGGAAAAGAGGGGAACAGCTGATTGTAATGTCATGCTCTTGGGCAATCCTCTGTATTCTTCTCTTTGGATATTTTTTTTATTTGAACATAGCATTTACCTTCAAATAGTGTTAGTTCATTATAAATAATCTGTGATGATGTCACTATTTCTATAAAAATAAAATGAAATTATTTAAATATATATTTCTTTTCATTGTACTTTTCTCAAGTAAAACTAGTTTTTTTATTTTACTATAACCCTGAATTTTTTTTTACTGGAGTTGACTTGACTTTGCTGGAATATATGCATGCCAGGAGTTATTGAGTAACTTGACAAAAGGAAGTACACAGTGATTTTTCTTATAAACAGTATCATCTATTTGCAGAATTTTATTTTACATACAAATGTATAGGAATTCAAATGAACTTTTCCCCTAGAATATTTATCAAAAAAACCCTCAATTAAATTAGAATGTCAAAAATAAGAATAAGCAGAATCTATGAATGATTCCTTCCTTCTGATGAATGTCATATATTCCTTTTTCAAGATGATGGAAAGGCGAAGATTTTATTCTCTGTTGCATTACAATATTCCCATTGATAGGGTGGTATTAATAAGTTTAGGATTGTTCAAACACATGGCATAGCTCTAAAACACCCAGGTTTCAAACCTGCAAAACTGGTTGAACTATCTAATCAACATTTGTTTTGTCCTCAGACTCTGTTTTCTTAACAGTCATGCAGATTACATTAAGCTGTCTGTTACTGGGAAAGGAAATGCATCTTTCCTGAACTAGAGTTTTCCTTTGGAAACTGCCATATGTAAACCGTCATTTGAAACTGCCATATGCAAATTTTACCTTAAATTGTTTGTTTACTAGAAATTATATATAAATTTTTGAAGGTAAAACCTTTTTTCACTTTAACTTTGAACTATAGACAGTAATATATTTTGTAAAGTAATACTTAACCCAAATATAAAAGGCAATAACCATCTTTAGACTTAGAAAATCCTCTCTGCTCTCCTATATCTGCAAAGAAGTGCTTTAGATACTGCAATTTATCTGTCTAATTGGCAAGTGATTATGGAAAGAACCTCTAGTGTTCACTATGTCCAGTTACATATAAATCATAATAAAAATTATTTTTTACTATTTTTTTTTACTAATACTGAAAGGTTGTTTTTCCTTATTGCATCTGGGGAATTATTCATTCATAGGGTCGCTATAAGTTGCCTATGACTCGACGGCACCTAACAACAATAACAACAACAACATAGAGAGAGCGACGTTGGCCTAGTGGACAGAATGTTATGCTACCAAGCCCAGGTGGGTGGGTGATTTTAATCTGTGGCCCTCAGGCCGGGTTCAAATTGTTTTCCTGTCAAACATTCTTCTAGGTGGTATAGCACTGGTCTGTGCATTGCTGTACAGCAGTAACTCGTGGTTGTTGTGATGCTGAACACTGTGACACTGATGTGCCAAACGTGGTAATGGTTACCCATGGTGAACACTGCTTGGTGGAGCTTCCTGATTAAAACAAGCCTGGAAGCAGGAGCGGCACCCACTTCAGAAATGGCTTGTCTTCAGAAACTCAATGTATGAACAGTGCTCAGCCTTTTGTTCATAGGGTCACTATGAGTCGTCTATGACTCGATGGCACCTAACAACAACAACTCAAATAATACAGTCCTGTGTACTTTTTCTTTTAATATCTTCATGTAAGGAGCCTGCCTGGTGTTGCAACTTTTAAGAGCTCTTTTGTTAACTAAATATTTGAAAATACTTAATGGCTTCGCAGGAGAAATGCCTGGTAATCTGCTCCCATAAATATAATAACTACAGATCCCTCTTAGGCAGTTCTAGTCTGTCACATGTGGTCATTCCAAATCAGAATTCATTGAACAGTACCTAAAAGCAACAATAACTTATTATAAAAAAATAAAACCAAGCATGCACACACAAATCAAACTCGGTACATATTGAACGGTATTTCAGAATTCAGAATTTCCTCTATAATGATTAACATAACCTCTCTATATAGAGACCTCCCTAAAATAGACTTCAGCATACTATAATGCCTGTAATGAAGAACATGAGTTATGATAAATTTCCTTTATGATTTCCCTGCTCCTATGAACAATTTTTCACTGCCTACTGGATAGTCATTGCCTCTAGGCCAGTCTTTTAAAGAGTTGAGGTATATACATGAGGAAGGATATGTGGCAAAATACATATGTACTTCAAATCTGATTAATCTGTGTGAAATAAATGCAAGGAATTTATAAATTGAATATTATTGAATGTAAATCTTACACTTGAAATTTTTCCATCTTCAACTCTTTCAAATAATAGCAATACACTATTGAACTGTTGTTCATTGCTTTCACGTGAGATCTGCTGGGTTTTCAGAGGTTGTAAATCACATGGAAACATTTCCTTACTTCTCCATAGAGTAACAAGGGTTCAAGTCATTTGCCTTGGAGTTGACAGAGCAACTGTCTATCCATTGTGCCACCTGAACTGCCTTATAGCTAGATGCGAATGACCAAATTTAACCAATGTGATATAAATGTCTTCCTCTCTGCACATAAAAATTTGAGGAGGATAATCTTAAAGTTGGATACTGACTGTAAGAATAAATAATAAAAAGCTAATGATAGAAGTTGTACCAAATAAAAATATTTACTTCCTAACTTAATTAAAAGGCTATTTGGAGATATTGACACATTCAACTAAAAACTCACTGCCATCAAGTCAGAACTGTCTCATAGCTGACCCTCCAGGGGGTTTTAAAAGACTCTACATTGCATGGAAAGCAGGTTGCCCATCGGAACCAGTTATTTAAACTGCCCGTCTTTGAGTCTCTAGAAATTATGCCACCAGAGCTCCCTGATACAGTACTAGGTCATTCAAATCAAAGAGACTGTTCACTAGAGAATATTTCTACATTTTTCATGATAAATAGTTTAAAATCTTTTATAAATCTGTTATGTTATACACTTATTAAAATTAATAACCCCAAGTCCCATTTTTCAAAATTGCTGAAATTTAGACCTGAGTTTTACTCTAAGTAAACCAATAAGAGGGTTTTAATAAATTAGCTCATGTTTTACTAGAGCTATTCTCAAACACTTTATTGGTATTGTGTCATCAAGGATCTTCCTCTATTCGCTGACTCTTTACTTTTACCAGCATGATATCTTTTCGAGGGACTTCTTTATATATTGTTCCACATTTACATGCATAAAACACCACTGAAAATAGAATGACTTGAGTCAGGCACACTTTAGTCTCTAAAATAATCCTCTTTCTCTTCAACATTTTACTAAATAGCTCTGATGGCCTAATAGTAAGATCTGCCCTGCAATCCTAAAGGCTCATGGTTCAAATCCATGGGTAAGGATGGGCAATCTCCTCCTTGTGATTACTCCTTCTGAAAACCTTTTGGAGGATTGGTTATGGGCCAGTTCCAACTTGAATGTACACAACAATAACAAATAGACTTTCATTACAACACTCCCATTGTATTTTAAAAATCTCAAAGTCAAAATTTCTATTTCTCTTTTTAGTCCCTTGACCAGTAATACCTTACACATTTTAAAAACTCTTCTAGGCTTCTTTGTGTGACAAATTTTTGTCTTCCTTTTGTTAGATTTCCATACTCTTTTTTGGTTATAACTCACAACCCTCTTTCAGGAATATTGTTTTTATGAGTTTTTCTAGGTTTGGGGGTAGGGTTTCTGTGGTTATGTCAATAAAAATATTTCAAAAATTATATAAAGTTTACCCTATCTTATGTTTACAATAAATTTCTAGAATTCCAAAGTCTGTGAATTGCTACAATAAAAACCCAACCACAATAAATGCAAAACCAATTCAATTACTATAGAGTCAAGTTTGACTCACAGCAAACCTATATTGAATTTTGAGACCATACACCTTTACTGGAGAAGATTCCTGGTCCTTTTCTGAGGAAGCACCTGATAGATTTGAATGACTGACTTTTCATCTAGCAGTACAACACACAATCCATTATGCTACCAAGGATTCTTTCTCATTTCTTTACTAAAAACCATCTCAAATATTAAAATGCCCAGAACCATACAAAAATGACTCTTCATTTTCTCTTGT